TCAGTATAAGGCAGCTTTCTATGTTCCTACAGAAGAAAAGTCAAACGGCCACCCTACAACCATTCAAAATACAAATTTACAAAAAATCAAGGAAACTGAAGAATCTGTTTTGTACATAGTATCACAAGAGACCATCAACGCAATATCAAGAAACAATAAAGCAAAACCCCTGTCTCCACCAATTATAGCAAATTAATTATTGCAAGCAACGAAGGCAGCATCTGCAAAAGTACAATGCATGGTCACATCTCTCTGTCCCCAATGCACCCATAGATATGCCACCCAAACCACACCCATCCTGAGAACACAGTTGTGTCCACTCGATAGATGCAGAATGAAGAGAATTTGGGTGTGCAGCTGCTGCTGATCTCAGTGCTTCAAAGTTCGAAGCTTGCCTTCGTTGTCACTATCCTTAGGCTAAGGTGGAGTGAGGAAGCTGTTCGAGTCTAAAGGTTTCATTGCCAAAGGTCACATGCCAGGGATGGGTGGGGACACAGGCAAATGGAGGGGAATCAAGATATGCAGGTTTTACCTTCCTATGCAGACTGATTTTGACACAGCCTTCTGGGTCCTCCATCCAGACAAGCAAGTCAGAGTTCAAGGACGCATTTGAGCCAATCAAAAGCACTTGGGGGGCAAAACAGTGATGGGGTAGCCTGAAGATAGGGGTGTGGCCTAAGGAGAGATCCTAGGGCCAAGCAGAAGGGCCTGGAGGGCCACCTTAGACCTCCAGACCAGAGGTTCTCCACCTTGATACAGGAACTAAAACACATGCTGAATTCATTTCATGACTGGGAGACAAAAGAGTACTTAAAAGAACATGTTTACACAACAGAGCTTCACAGATTCTTATCTCGGGGGTCTTACATTATCAATGTAAGTACCATTGGGCACCAGATTTGCAACCCCTGCAAATGTAAGCAAGGCATGGATCATCCATGTCTCGTTTTCTTTACAAAAAGCCACCTTGCACCTGTTGAAATGCTTGCTTATCAGAAGTGGGGTGAGCATTATTAGACTCTCAAGTGGTTGTTGTATATATGCTCATTTTGACCTGTTGCTCTTTCCTTGAGCATGTAAACATGACATCGTCAGCTGAAGTGGTTTCAGGGGTTGTTATCTGAGGGAAAGCTAATTATGTACAGGAGCAGCTAAGCCTGCGTACTTACTTGAGAGTAAGTGTCATTGAGCTCAATGAATGCAAAAGCTACCCAGTGGAGTCACTTACAGTACGTTGATACTGTCGATTAACACCTATGATTCATGGACAGCATTGGCTGGCTCCCCTCCCCATTTCAAATGTTCCTATGTCAAAAGGGGTATTTAAATACCTTATTTTAATTTCTCTGCAAAGCTTCCCCCCATACTTTAAATCAAAGCTCCTTTTGTTCGTTTCCCAAGTGTCAATTCACAGAATTCTCTTGTGTGCCAAATGTTGTGGATCCTGGCCAGTATCCTACACCTGCAGTGGCCAGCCAGGCTCAGGACCACATTACCTCAAGGAACGCCTTTCTCCATACGAACCTACCTGGACCCTGAGATCGTCATCTGAGGCCCTTCTTCATGTGGCTTCTCCACAAGAGGTCCGGAGGTCCAGGCCTTTTCTTCATTGGCTCCCCATTTGTGGGATGCTCTCCCCAGGGAGGTCCGCCTGGCACCTTCATTATACACCTTTAGGCACTAGGCAAAGAATGTTCTCTTTAACTAGGTCTTTGGCTGATTGATATCCAACGCCCCTTTAAAATGTGTTGGAGGGTTGGGTTATTGGGTTCTTCTTGTTTTTGTTTTTATTATGTATTTTGTGGTTTTATCTTGTGGTTTTATCTTGTGAACCACCCTGAAACCTGTGGGTATAGGGAGGTATACAGCTAATGATGATGGTGGTGGTGGTGATGATGATGATGATGCCTGAGGAAAACCTGCAAGCAGGACTGAGTGCAGAAGTACTCTCCCTTCCCGTGGTTTCCAGCAACTGGTATTGAGAAGTTTTGCTGCCTCCAAACATAGTCATCACGGCTCGTAGCCATCGACAAGGACATTTCACCGTATGTATAAGCCAGTGGGTTTGCTTCCATTCTTGGCTTGAAACTGGAGAGCCTCTGCCAGTCAATGTAGACAATACTCAGCTAGATGGGTCAGTGGTCTACTCTGTGTAATGCCCCATGTTCCTAAATCAGAAAGGTGAAAGCTCTTGAGTGTGTGAAGCTAACTGTGATGCCGTAGTTTGTTTTTTGGGTGTGTTTTTTTTGAAATGACATATGCCACACATCATTATATAATCATATAGTTTAAAAAGGAAACACAGGTTTTTGTTTTTTGAACATTCCAGACTATTTTAGTTCTGCATCCTCCTACCTTTTTCGTTTTTGCCGGTGACAGTCCTCGTAGCTGTTTCAGAAGTGAGGAGGAAATGGGTTACAAATTGAAAACTACCAGCTAAAAGGAAACCTGTGGGCTCTGCTGAGAAATCATGCTTTTTAACAATAGAGTGAGGGAAAAGAGTTTGCCCTTTCAGATAAATGGCTAAAAATAATCTGGTTTTTCTGCCCCCAAGTAAATATTTTCTGCTCGTTGCCTGTTCTTAAATCCCGACGCCTCAAATAACAAGACGTCTAATGTAAGGTCAAAAGTGATGCTGAAGGGCTAATAAAAGCTCTTTGGTGAAGCTGTGCTTGTTGTATAATGAAAATGAGTCTAGTGTCCAAGGTTAAAAGCAACTCTGAAGGCTTATTAAACTGTGCAAAGTACTCAAGCAGTTGGGCATTTGGTCTTCCGTTAAGCAGGAGAACTGTAATGTGACGGAAGGGTCACCTGGAAGAAGAGGCAGTTTCTAGAGCGTATCGTCATGGCTTTTTAAACGCCCACTGAATTGCTGCTTCTGAATGGACAGGATTTTTGCAGCCTGTTGTTATGGAATGTCTGCTGGGAGGAGCACACAGAGAAGAAAAGCCACGGTGCACCTGTAGCAGCATAACCGGACACCTTCATCTGCTCCACCTGCAATAAAACAGGTCTCTACAGCCACAGAAGGCACTGCTTGACTTTATCCACAAAGGTGTGCTCTTCCATTGTCTTCCAAGACAGATGGATGTCAACAACAACAGTAATTAAGGGGCTTTTGTCTATCGGGCTATGCAAAGAGGGACTGGATCAGGAACGGTCACATCCTCACCATCCCTATGAAGCACATGTAAGGTGCATGGCTTACGCCAAAGAATCCTGGCAGCTGTAGTTTACCTTATATAGAATTCCCAATTCCCTTAACAAACGGTCTCCCTCGGGAGGCTGTAGACTCGCCTTCCTTGGAGGTTTTTAAGCAGAGGTTGGGTGGTCATCTGTCATGGATGCTTTAGCTGAGATTCCTGCATTGCAGGGGGTTGGACTAGATGACTCAATGACCTTTGGCCTCCCTTCCAACTCTATAATTCTTTGAGTCTATGAAACTACAGTTCCCAGGAACAGGTGTCAATGTGCATTGCACTCAGCGCTGCGTTTTTAACCTCTCCATAGCCTGGATATTATACTAGTCCTCAAGATTTCCAGTACGAACGCTCAGCCAAACTGAGAGATAGTACTTTCCCCCGCTGCCTCTTACGCAAGGAATCCAATCCATGACTCACCATATATGCATTTTAAAGATCATTACCACATCCTTTTAAACAAATGAGTTGTAATTAGACTCATCTTATATGCGAAGAGTCTGTACTTTCACTTAAGAAGTCACACACAACAAAGTGTTTCCTGTAATAATAATCAAAAAAAACGAACCCTTAAGAAAGAAAAGTTCTACTCCCACATGGTTTGTTTTAAAAATATCTTTAAATACTATTAAAGAACAATCGTTGTGTACATTTATTTCATGTGAGTGGGAAGCCAAATCTGTCAATGTTTCATATTCTTCCTGCAACTGTAACAAAGGTACAGACAACTGCAGTAATAACATAACAAAACAGAACGATTGCCTTTCATGCTGTCTTCCCCAATTAAACCTCCAACAGCTAAGCACCTTTTCCGTGCCGGCATCGATGAATGCAGTTGCACGGGGATTTCTGGGAATGGTGTTCTGGTGCCAAACCGAAAGATATTCACCCCCAAGAGGCAGGTACAATGCAGGAGAACTTCACATCAAGGGCGCACTTTGGGAAGGGAGAAAGTAAGCATAATGCTTATTATTATATATAGTCATGAGAACTATCCATTATGGAGATCTCTGCAGTCTACTCTTTCGCTTAACAGGACATCAGTGAGTGACAAAGTTCCAAATTCTATGCTTAGGACCACCTCAAAACCTTTGAGAATGCTAGATAATTTGGGACTGGGAATGGGCAAATCAGTCAGTTTCAGTTTCTCTCAGTGTCTCATTTTTCCTTGTCTTAAATTTAGTTCTTCACATTTCCACATAAGTTTGCAATTCTTTTTAAAAAGTCCTCGTGAAAATTCACCAGAATTTCAGCACAAATTTCTGCTGACCTACACCTTTTTGCAAGAAAATTTCCCCCGGTGTAGTGCATATTTATATGTTAATTTGCATGAGTGTATGCATTGCTATGCACCTTTCCCCCTAATATATAACTATGTATATATATGTATATAAATAGATAAACATGCACATGCAAACGTACAGACATTACAAGGCTGAAGAACATTGCAAAATTACATTGCAAAATTCAGAGAAGGGTGGATTTCAAAGGATGGTTGGTTTTCAGTTTGCATATTGTTTCCGATACTGTAAATTAGGTTGGTTCGCTTTTAAATGCCAGCAGAAATGATTCTCTCTCCTACCCCTAGTTGGCACCTACATGAATTGAAATTGCACCCCAGGACACCCTGTGCTGTGACATCAGATTCTGGCGCATGCTCTCAATTTGAGAAAGTGCATAGGAACAAAGGAAGTTGTCTTATACTGAATAAGACCATTGGTCTGCCTGTCTTAGTACTGTCTACACTGACTGGTAGCAGCTATTTGGGGATTTCAGAGGGGAGTCATTGCCAGGCCTATCTGGAGATGCCGGGAATTGAACCTGAGACCTTTGGCATGCCAAGCATGCGCTCTACCGCTGAGCTACAGCTCTTTCCCTAGCACCGACTTGCATGATGGGTTCCTCTTTGAATTGTATCATCCCAGGCAGCTGCCGACTCTGCTTTACTGCAGAGCTCATCCTCATCTCATTTGTAGTCCAATGGAAACTCTAACGCTTCTGGGGATTTCTGAAAGGCCTTTGAAACCATTTAGTCAAAACAGGAAAAGCCAACTAGGGAAGAGAAATTATTTTAAGGATATCCTAATTATATTATCAGGTATCATCTGGTTTTTAATGATACTTCAAAGTTATACCCTGCCTGAATTTTGCAGAATGCTTCAGGGGGAGGGCGGGATATAGTGGAATATCTGAAGAGCTCGTTCTTCAATTAACGAGTGCTTCACCTTGACCTGTTTGAACTTGGGCAATCGGACCAATATTCAATTTACAAAACAGCGACATTTTCTCCCCCCCTCCCATTTTGATCCTGAAAATCTGTAGCCGTGTCACCAGTCCCTTTTTTAATTATACCATATTCTTTACATCTGTCCTGCTAAATAACTCTAATTGAAATAGCACCGGCGTGAATTTTTGTAATGTTCCCCCCAAGACATCCCGAAAGTGACTCACACGAGAAAACAGACTGAAGTCACAGCTGGAAGCACGTCAAGGATCATTTCCATTTTTACATGATTAATTTGAATTTAATATCTTAAATCAAAACCTGATTAATTTAAATAAAATTTTGATGGTGCCCTGCTTCTAATATACATTGCAGTAATTAGATTGGGCTTAATGTGATTTTTTTTTACATAATTAAAAAAAAGAGCAAGTCAAGTGTAACAATGCAGTGTGTGTACAATGCTTTGATGTGGGGGGGGGCTAAGGAATTATTGCTACAGACATCACTCAGCTTCAGAAAGGGTCAAAAATGAGAGAATATGCTAAAGGTCAAAATTGTGTGTGTATGTGTGTACTGTCCCCACCTCACTGCTGCCCACAAAAATCGCAGGTCAAATGGAATAAAATGAAGTTCAAATATGTGCAGTCTATACTTTGGAAGTTATATGGTTTGTGGGTTTCCCATAGGATTCTGGTAGGCCACTGTGAGAATAGGATACTGATAGATAGGTATTTGGGGTGATCCGGCAGAACTCTTTTATGTTCTTATCTTCTCCTAGTTGAGGTCCATCATCTGTTCTAGCTGAGCTCTCTGGCCTACTCCCCTGAAGGCTCTCCTCTCCTTACGAGCAGAATTCCTGGCAAGGCTCACTTCAAAATATCGCCAGCAAAATAGGAAGAAGCCTGAGTTGATGTGCTAGTCTTTCTTGAGGAGACTGGCAAGTGAGCGAGCACCTGGGTCTTAGGGGTCAGACCAGAGCCTGTTTGGGAACTTAGACGAGCCCCCTCTGAACCTTAGACAACACTGGAGAATCCCACTGCAACATTGCCTTTCTTGTAACATTATTACACCGTGGTTGTACACCACTCTAGCACTAAGGAGAGAATACATGTCTGATTAAGGTTTGGGTATAGTGCAGTGTATAAATTCAATAAATAATGATAACAACAGCAACAACATTAATAATAATAATGCAGAAGGCCATGTGCTCTGGCAGTCTACACTTATGTCCTACCATAACAAGCGAGCAAGGTATTAGTACTGCTAGGAAGTGCAGCAGTTCTTTGAGTGGGTGGGATGATGCGATAAATGAGGGAGATCTGAGGTGCTTTCCCCCTCCCTGACTCAAAGTGCAATGTCAGTAAACCCCCTGGCAGTGCTATTTTTCTAAGGAGGAAATGGTGCTGGAACTCACCATGAACGTCTCCCTTGTTCTCTTTTAATGGCAATGGAGCCCACCTGAGAGGTGCTGGAACTGAGTTCCAGCTGGAAAAACAACAACAAACCTCTGTCCACTGGAGTCCAATCAGGGCCTTTCACCACCATTTCCCCCCCCCCATCGCCTTTTCATGATTTGTGGCTCTATTTTTTCATATATCTCTATGTTTCTCTAGCTCGGCGGGCTGAGCAAGGACAGAGGCATCAGCTTCCCTTCGCAACACTCAGCTGCTCCGGATTTGTGTTTGCTAATACACAGAATTTTTAAAAATTCAAAAGCTGCATTTCAGCTGTTTTATTTACATATTTTTAAAAATCTATATTGTTTGATTTCACAACAACAAAAAACATTCAGTCTTGGTCTGGCGGGGGCGGGGGGGAAGCGGTATATAAATAAATTTAATTACCATCATGCTTATCAGTGGGCACAGTTCATAAATTCTGCTCTCCGTCAGTTTTGCTGTTGGTGTTGCTCAGTTTTAAAATCAATTATTTGTATTCTACGTATTGTGACCAATTGTGATGGCTTATAGCTTTTAGCAATAAAGATTTCATTCATTCAGTCAAGCCTAGAGAAAAGGAGTGACTATGTGCATCTGAGCCAAACCCTTCCGTCCTACGTTCTGAGGAATCCCTCGTCTTACCACCACCTTGGCTGGAAAGGCTAAAGAAAATGCCTGTAGACCTCTGCAACTTTTTGCAAGGGAAATGTGTGCATCTCAGTAAAATTAATGAGTTGGGTTTTGACTACCCAGTCCTTCACATCCTTCTGCTGATGGATCTTGTTGACAGAAGCCAGACAACTTGAATATAAATTCTAAGAAAGCCACTTATTTATAATTCATCACACACTCCAATAAAAAAAAGTTGCCACTTTTTATCTGACAGCCAAGACTCTGATGACAATCAAGGATTTAATTTCCCCACCACCACCTCTAAATTTAGGCTTTTCCTTGCACAAAGTCTACGTTTTTGTCTAAAAATAGCTGCTATCTGGGGCCTGGGGCTTGGGGTTGGCACTAACGTTCTTGTTCCATAGTTAAAGTCAAAACAAAATTAATCAGGAAGGGTTATCTATAATGAATCACTATTTATTCCTGGGGAGGAAAGGAAGAGGAGGAGGGAAAAAATACCTTTCACAGCAGCTGAAGGAAAGTACTTTCAGGGAGTTACATTAAACTATGGACTCTAAGGAGAAGATTACAGATCTTCCGTATTCAACAACATGAATGAAAACTCTTAGGAACTAGTCTAACTTACTCCCCGCTCCCACAACTCCTTCTGCCCCAAAGCTGCAGGGATTGCTTTTTGTATAGGGAATGATTTAGATGGCTAATTGAAAGTAAGCAGTGGTGAGCAGTTTCCTCGGTAAAATATTACCAAGACAATCTTATCTGAGTTTACAGAGTCATTTCCAATTTGTAAATGCTGTATTCATTTCTAGCAGATAAAACACCTTTTTTAAAAAACCCTACACCAGGCCGGAGCATGGATTGCTGTAATAACCACACTTTGCTCAGTCCTCATTCCTCACCCTCTTCTTATCACCTGCACAAACTTTAGACTCACGTTTGAATAATTCTGCTACCAAAAAAGAAAAAGGAAAAAATCTCCCATCATTCTGCAAACAAAATTAACGATTTCCCCTTCTAAATCCTGATAACCTGCCACAGCTCTGGTTTCTGCTAGTTATCTGCCCTGCTGAGAATCACCTTCCTTCAGAGCCTACGATTCTTTTAAGAACATCACCTTTGCAAATTCATCCCTTACCTATAATATCCAACCCCCCCACCCCAATATCCCAGGTTTTGCTCCTGCATTATAATAGATGTAAATTAATGTTTTGCCATTGTTTGTTGCTGTAATCATAGAGGCAAGTATATGCTTCTAACAGCTATCTTATTTTCAATTTGCAAAGCATACTGTGCTTAATCCCATGTGGCAGCCTGTGGTCCTAGATATGAATTTTAAAAGGTAATTAGACCAGCGCAGGAGGCTCTCTCCTGAATGGAGACAGCAGACTCCTGCCAGGTCCAGGGGGGTCTCTGAGAGGTCCCAGACTGGTCCCAGTTCTCATCCTAGCTTATTACTCTTCTCCACTGTGTGAAACAGCTTATTTGTTCATGAAAATGTAAATCATGTTGCTACTAGAAAATATTATTTTAAGCCTTAAAAGGGTCACTGAGTTTCTGCCGTAGTCATTTTGTACTTGGGGTGGCTGCCCAAAGATTTACCACCCACCCACCCCTTTTATACAAATACCTGTAAAGGGGATTCCGTTCACCGCGGTGGATCTCCAGCAACTGCAGGTAAGCGAGGAAATATCAAGCAAACAATCATCTAATCAGCTAAGTAAATGACAACCTCCTTGGGGAAATGCTCTGTGTTTTAAGCAAAGCTCGATATATATCATGGAATGTCATTGGTGTTATTGAAAATCACTACTGTAATTGTATACACATGCGGACAAGGGTCAGAAAAGTGAGATTTGCTGGCAATTCCTGAGATTTTAGGGTGCAAATGGGAAATACCAGTTAATTTTGGACATTTACCAGTGAATCCCAAAGCGAAACAGTTACGGATAGTAAAATCACCAAATACCATTTGTATTTCCATCCTTTACTGGCAAAGGATGGGATTTACTATTGCTATCCTCACCATTGCAAACCACTTGGAGGTACTGTTGTAAACTGCTAAGAGGTTTTATTCGCAATCAAGTAAATTTATAAATTTAGGTAATTTTTTGTAAATGTCTAAAATAAACCTCCTGACATAAGCTTTCCTGACCTTTAGCAGTAACTCAGGAGGCCAACCGAATGATCAAATACCATATTCCCATCAGCTATTGATAAAGGAAGACATTTGTGAATGGAACCAGCACGTTCACATAGAGCTGCTTAGTGTAGGGAACAAACAACAGAGAAGGCTTGCTCCCATCATGCCTTGCTCTAAGCTTCATAGTAGCATTGGGCCACAAATGGAATCAATTTCCCATGACGCCAGGAGTGGCAAACAGGGAGGGACACCACCGTGGACCGGGTCTCCCAGGGACAGTGGGTCGGGCAGGTTGGTGGTGATATTAAGGCGGTTTGGACACATTGGTGTGTAAACTGGATGGGCTCTCCTTGTGCCTCATTCTGCACCCTCCTGGTACACAGCACCAATGTTGCTGCCAGGAGGACAGATTCCACCCACCAACCACTCCCAT